CAATTTTTTTTTTTAATTTTACCACAAAAAAGTTTGCTTCGTTAAAGTACAAACCGTGCATATTCCTATGCCCGCAGCTGTTACCAGCTAACAACTAAAAGTGCAGTAGCATTAAAACAATGATGAGCTTTTTATCTAATAGCAAATAAAAACATAACACAACTCTGAAAATAACACAGCAAGTAACTAACATTGGTTTTGTTGTTGTTGCACACTTCAAATGAATAAATTTGCAAAGTTTTTCAACTCATTTATGAAGCAGCATGCCTGCCACAAGGTCACTATTATAGATTACTTTAGCAGATTTTTCATGCTACCACAATACACACACACAAGATCACATACGAACGCACATTGCAACCACACTTGCTTCAACGATATTTGACAACAATGTGGCAAGACACAACAACAACGGTAAAACAATTGCAATAGCACTTAATTGCTGCAGTGTCAATAGAAGGCATGAGGCAGCTCGTGTCTAACGCGCGCTCACACAAAAAGCAATGCCAGCAATGCGGTGATGTCTGTCTGTCAAAGTAGTCAGTCAGTTAGTCAGTCAATCGCACAGTCAGTGTCAGCTGATAAAATCGGCGCATCCACAAACTTGAACTTGACAGACGCTGCTGCTTGAAAGAAATATGGATAGATTTTTCTATGTATGAGTAGTGATGTAGTGATGGCCGCTGACAAAGCGTGTGGCAGTGTGCGAAAGTCAATAGCCTCTGCGGTTTCAGGCAGCCAATTGCTGCAGGAAAAATCGATTCTCACACGCTTGTGAAGTTATTGAAATATTTCACATGATTTTCATTTTCCTTGGTGAATTTGCAATTTTGCGCTCATTTTTGGTATATAATTTAGTATATGCCACCAGTTATGCTATATGATTTGTTATAGTTTAGTCAAATATTTGGGGAATGTTCTAAAACTAGTTTAAGGCTTGTGAAATTTATTTAACTGACAAATGACAGGCGAAAAGTACAATCATTWTATTAATATTTTTCAAGTTAAGCGAAGTTTTTTAAGAGTTATAGCATTCATTTGAGACAAAGCGATTCTAGTTTATAGTTCACTCTTATACAACTATTTTCCCCTTTAGGCATTGTATTGCCATATCCATAGGCTTAACGCCTGTCTCTTATTTGCTCGAATTTTATATTTATTTTATATTATTAAATTCATTTTCTTATACTCGCACGTCATTGTTAGAACATTCTCACTTGAAACTGAAGTCTACGTAGACATTAATTTTTCATTATCCGAAGAAAACGCGCAACGAAGCGTAACAATTTAGCATGCAAAAGTTGTGTAGAAAAATTTARCAAACAGATATTAAAAAAACACTTAGCATGAACAATTGTTAGAGGTTTTCTCAGTAAAAAAAAAAAAAAAACAGAAATTAAAAAAAAACCTTAACTTCAATTGCTCCAAAGCTGGAGTGTCCTTCTCATATACAAACATGTCTTACAAGAACCTGGTTTCGATCGTTCAGTTTGCATGGGAGCTATATGCTGTAGGAATYCGATCTAAACAATATTTTTGGAGATTATAGTACTGCCTTGTTAATCATACGTAAYGAATTTCGTGAAGATATCTCGTCAAATGTAAAAGTTTTCTATACAASCACTTGGTTCCGACCGTTAAGTTTGTATGGCACCTATATGCTATAGTCGAACGATCTGAACATTTTWTTCGGATATTACAAGGACCTCTTGGACAATTACTCATGCCGAATTTGGTAAAGATATATCTTCAAATGCAAAAGTTTTCATATACAAACTTGATTTCGGTCGTTCAGCTTGTATTTCATCCGCTCCGAACAAATTCTTCATAGATTGCACAGAGCTGTAATAATCCCTTTGGAATCAGGCGAATTTATACCAAATAAGCAATATTTTTAAATGTTATAATTTTTATTTAAAAGGGGGACTAAAGATGCGATCCAAAATTGTTAAAAATAAAAAGATTCTCAAATTTTATTCCCAAGCTTTAATAACRGCCAGCTGTTAAGGCTTTTGACTTGCTTACATAGTGCTCATTGTACAAAAAATACTCATACACAAATTACTTATGAAACTAGTATATTGAAGCATTTTAGGCTTGAATAGACCATAATTGGCAATTTCGTACACTCATTCATATTGTTCATTTCACATTACTGAACTTCCTAATCGATTTCGACATATTTCACGCCAAATAATTGCAGACTAAAATGCAAAAAAAAACAAATTATGTACAGACAGTTTTACATATTACACTAATTGGAAAAAAAACTACAAAAAAAAAAAATAGAAGCGAAAATCGGAAGACAAGCGGAAAAGCTAAAAAATATTATAAACACCCAACTAAAATAAAAATGAAAAGCTTTAAATTTTACTAATGAAGCAATGAATTGCCCAAAAGTAGAACCCGGAAATGCATGCATGTGAGAATTGAGAAGYAATTTTAGGCATGCAACACAATTTAAGTATGCCTTGCAACACATTCAGTTTACTGTTTAGTGGTATAATTCGTTCAGTGCCGTAGAATATATTTTCTTCTTCTTTATTGGCTTAGTAATATTTCTTCACAGTTCAAGTATTTTTGAGCATAAAATTTGTTTTGAGGCATAATTGAAATTCATTCATATAATTTAATTTTTTGTTATACCAAAAAAATTTTTTTTAATTACTTTTTACTATTTTTATTTTTTAATTATTGAATACCACTAACAAATTTTTTTTTCTCGTTCTGCAGGTACATTCACAAATCAAAACGATACGATCGGACCAAGCGCATTTGAAAAATAGCCGTTTTGGTGGCGAAGTATTTTTTCTAAATCTTGAAGATGGCTATTTTGGCTGTCAAGTTAATGAGTCTACAGATTATTTACAATTATTCGAATTATCGAAATTATGCGACGGCAGGCGAGATTGTTTTCTCGGTGCCGATGAGCTGAGAGAGGAGCTCAAATGCACAAGTGAGTAACACAAATTTGTTTAAGGAAGATTTTTCTTAAGAAAATTAAAATGGAAAAAAATTTAAATGTAAATTAATTAAAACTAAACT